TAAGTGTCCGTATATAAAAAGAGATTTAAATCAAGAAACGACTCACACAGTTATAGAAGGGGTAAATCCAGTCTGAGTCAATTCCCTGAGTCAGATGTAAGCTGAAGGCTTCTCTTGACTCCTGCAGATGCAAGGGCTGATGAATAAGAAGCAGGAAAATGAGCAGGAATAGCACAGGCTGGTGGATGCTGAATTGAACAAATCCGAAATAGGCCAAATGAACCTAAGGTCACTATTTGAATTGGCCAAATCCAACAGTAGAAGTCTACTAGCAATTACAGACTGTCAATTCAAACTAAGAGTAGACAACACCACAAGGGAAACCTTCCTCAATCATACCGAGGCTGTGACCAGATTAAAGAGGTCTATTTTGCCCATAGCTGCTTGGCTGCTTCACAGAAAATCCCATCATGGAGTTGACCACGTTACATTAGATCATAGTATGGACCAGTCCTGGCCCACTGTGGTAGTTACATAATCTGTTGTCAATTTGAAAGGTTTATGAGAGAAGGGGTGGAGTTTAGCCTGATGCTCGGATCTCAGCTTGATGACCTTATTTGGAGGTGATAAGGAGATAAATAGGTTGTTGGAGGCAGGACACAGGTTCACTCCCTGCAAGACAGTGCAGCTGACAAGACATATGGAAACAGGCTGATGGCGGCCAGAGCCTCAGAGCTGGAGAAGCCACATGGAGACCCAGGCCAGAGCTGAGATGCTTACACAGCCCCTGGATCCAAAAGACTTCCCACCCACTGGCCTGTGATCTTCCTGCATTCGGGGTCATTGCATGTGTTTCATGTATCTGAAGATAAATTTATACATTGGTATCAGAAATATGGGCTAACATTGGATTTGTGTACTTGATCTGGACTTGCTGTGATGTTTTCTCAATATTCAATTGCTCTTGTATATAAAACTCTTTCTTATATACATGGGTGTCTATGAGTTTGTTTCCCTAGTCTTCCCAGACTAACACACCCACCCAAGTTGACCTAAAACCTACTACCACAACCACATTAGAGATAATTCATCTGGAAGTCGCATTCAATATGAAAAAGCAAGATTTCTATGATTGAATTATTTTCATCAAAAGTGATGAAAACATGTCTTTATATGCCACTCAAAGATTGCCAATTTTAAATTCTGAAATTTAACTCAGAAAAAAAGTCCACATTTGGACATCCACATTTTACAAAGAAAGTGAACAATAACTCTTACAGTGATTTTGCGTGCAGAGAAGGAGTTTAATGTAGGCAATGTTGTTGTTTATATTAAATACTCATAAAACTTGCTTGGGCACAAGGACCTCCCTGTTCCTGCCCTTGTCAGCAGTACCAGTCACAGGACTTGAATGCTATAAATCTGTCTGTCTGCACACAGCAGTTAAGGAGCCATAGTGGACAGCAGCTAAGCACTCATCCCTACCCCATGGTTCCATGGGGGAAAGTCTTGGTGACTGGTTTCTATGAAGAGGACAGCCAGAAATAACCTGTTGGGGTATGTGGGGTTGAGGTTGGAGTTGCCATGGGTCAGAAATTCTCTGAACAGCACATCAGTGACACAGACTTCTCAGAGCCTTGTACTAGTTTTTCCAGACAACTAGGGAAATTAAAGCAGATTGACTATTTTTAGAGGCTTTCCACAATTTCATACATTTTCAAAGGAATGTGTGTGTGTGTGGATATATATATATATATATATATATATATATATATATATATATATATATATATATCAAATAGTTAATCCACAATAGTGACAAGTGCCTGTCAATGACATCTGAGGAGCACTCTAATTAAGACATCTCTTTATCATATTGTGCTAGCAGAACCTAGGCACCACAGACCAAACTACACTCTAGAACAGAGCAGTGTGTGGTGACTGGCTTTAAACTTCTTGAAATGTGACAGTCCCTTCTGCACCATGAGGCCCCTACTAACTGTCTCCCCACATTTTTGCTCATTTTCTCCCCAAGGCACTCTGTGAGGGAGACTTTGATCATTTCTCCCACTCTTATTACAGCCAAATGAGAGAGACCTTAAACACCATCTCAAGCAAGCCCAAGGGAGTAAGTGAAGAGATGAAACCCAAATTCCAGTCCGGCAGTCTCGAAGACTTGAGCATTTCAGATGGTAATCTTGTTAGGCATCCCTGCAATGACTAGAAAGACCTGCTACTCATAGCCAACTCACCTTCTCCAAAACATAGTTTGTGCTCATGGGCCCATCGCTTTGAAAACGGATCATGAGTGGAGAGTCTTTTATCCTAGGAAGAAACCTCTTCATTTGTCAACACCAGTAGATGTGAGACCCTCTCTCAGAGTTTCCTGTGGGATCCAGATGATTTTTGGCTACTTAGCAAGTATTCACTTAGTCACTAATACTCTACACCACCACTCATCAGTGTTCTGTACCATGGTGGCATATGTATTGTTAAGGGGCTGGAAAAGAGCGATGGTAGGTAGCACTGTGATTTAGGTATTGGGCTGCTAGCTGCAAGGTCAGCAGTTCAAACCTACCAACCAATCCATGGAAGGAAAAATGAGGCTGTCTGCTCCTGCAGAGAGTTTGAGTCTTAGCAATACCCCACAGTGTTGATACGAACCAGAACTGACCCAATGGCAGCAGGGTCACCCATGGTGGGCATGTCTCAGTGGAACATCAAGACTGAGACAAAGGAAGCAAAAAGGCCTAGGGATCTACTGCTGAAAATCTATCCATTAAACTTTATGGACAACAGCAGAGCACTGCCTAACTCACTTGCTCAGACACTGAGATAGTTAAGTCTTGCATCAACTTGGTTGGGCCAGGAGTCTCAGGGGGTTGGTGGTTTAAGACCTGGTGATCCTTGATGGTGTGGCCTAACATAATGCAATCACTTCCAAAATTGTTGCCTCTAAGCAGCCAACAATAACATTGATATTGCACACAAGTAAAATGTTCCTTAAGATCATCCAACAACAGTGGCAGCAGTACATTGCAGGGAGCTGCCAGAAGTTCAGGCTGGATTCAGAAGAGGATATGGAACAAGGGATATCATTGTTCATGTCAGAGGGATCTTGGCTGCAAGCAGAGAACACCAAAAAGAGGTTTACTCATGTTACATTGACTATGCAAAACATTTGACTGTGTGGACCATAATAAACTGAGGATGACCTTGACATGAACAGGAGTTACAGCACACTTCGTTGTGCTCATTCAGAACTTGTACACGGATCAAGCAGTTGTGCAAACAGAACAAGGGAATGCTGTGTGGCTTAAAATCAGAAAAGGTCTGCATCAGGGTGTGATCCTCCCACCATACTTTTCAATCTGTATGCTGAACAAATCATCAGAGAAGCTGGATTATGTGAAGAAGAGTGTGGCACCAGGATTGGAGGAAGGCTTACTAACAATCTGAGATATGCAAATGACACAACCTTGCTTGCTGAAAGTGAGGAGGACTTGAAGCATTTATTGATGAATATCAAGACGATAGCCTTGAGTATAGATTATAACTCAATATAAGGAAGACCAAAATCCTCACAACTGGACCAATAGGTAGTATCAGGATGCATGGTGAAGAGGTTGAAGTTGTCAAGAAGTAGTCAAGAGATCAAAGGGTAAATTAGTAAATTTGCTACACAAAGCCTTTTGGGAGAATTTAAGAGCAAGGATGTGTCTTTGAGGACTAAGTTGTCCCTGAACAAAGTCACAGTATTCTCCATTGCATCATCTACTGTACATGTGAAAGGTGGACAACGAATAAAGAAGACTGTAGAAGAATCCATGCATTCGAATTGTGGGGCTGGAGAAGAACATTCAAAGTGAAGGACAAACTGATCTCTATGGGAAGAAGTGCAGCCAGAGTGCTCCTTGAGGCAAGGATGGCAAGATTTGATTTTATATACTTTGGACATATTGTCCGACGAGACCAGTCCCTGGAGAAGGACATCATGCTTGGTACAGTAGAGGGGCAGCGGAAAAGAAGAAGGCCCACCACGATGGTTGGACACAGTGGCTGCATCAATAGGCTCAGACATCGGAACAATTATGAGGATGGCGTGGGACCAGGCAGTGTTTCGTTCTGCTGTGTATCGGGTCAGAGCTGAACAACATAAGCAGCCAATGAGTTACGAAAAGATTAAGGTAGGTTGCAGCATCCTTAGTCAGCTCACAGTCCTGATGCACTCAATTAAAGGTAGCTTCCTACTATGGAAAAGCTCTTTGCTGGATCTAGATCCTCCACTTGATTCATAAGCCTGGTATTCCTTGGACTTGAGCCTATAGCTTGCCATATTGCCAGTAACCTGGCAGTCATCATCAGCTGGCCATGTGACCTGCTAACCTTGGATTCATTCACCTCTGCAGACACCAGCCTATGGCCTTCCTCCTGATCTTGGGTGCATAGGCCCCTGCAACTCAGTGTGTCAGAAGAAGCCTCAAGCCTAACATCTGAAAATGGAACCTGCCTGGACTAGGACTGGCCCACGGTTACAACTGTGTGGGCCATTTGCTCGATCTACATTTCTACACATATACATACATACATTGGTGCCGCTGGCTTTCATCTCTAGAAAGCCCAGCCTAAGACAGAGGATGAATCACAGAGAATGAGGAAGGATGAATCACTCGAGAGGAACAATGTGTTTGGTGAGGGGAAGAGCCATTGAGGAGGGTGGGTGGCATCTCATGGAGTTGGATTGGCACAAAAGGCACAGCAATGAATTAGGGGGAAGATTCAGGTCCAGACAATGTTTCCTTCTGATGTATATAAGGTCACCATGAGTCAGAATTGATTGCAACTAATAATACCCTACCGGTCTTATTTGAGGGAGAAGTGCTGAGAACATGGACACAGCATGTTTCTAAGGGTAAGAACTTCCCAAAAGAGTCCTTTCTCACATTTTTCAACAGGAGGACAAACAAGCTAGTAAAAGATGACAATGTGCAGTTAAAATGGCCACTGTGAATGAGGGAACAGCAATTATGAGGCATTATTGAATAATTACCCACACTTACCACGTATGTTCCCAGTGGAAAGGAAGGCACTTCGATACCAAAGCACAAGGTCAATCTTAAAAAGGTGGTAAATGTACACTACAGACAGGACTGCACTTGCCAGGGCGATGAACCCGCCTATCAAGTAGGCTCGGGGATCTGAAACTAACGTGGCAAGAAAAAAAATAAGAGGAGAGAGCGAATTAATTACATCCTTTACTAATGCCAACCACATTATAAATGCTAAATGGGAATGTGTAAGAGCACAATGAGTAAATACGTATTTAAATTTAAATAATAGGTACTGGAGTAGAAGCAGCTGTTCTTAAGAATGAATTTGGGGAAGCCAAGTCTGACCTCGCGGACACCTCAAAGGGAACAGTTCCAGGATCGTGGCACCGACAGCCCACCCAGCACTTTCTCAGGCACACCAGTGCTGCTTTCCAAAGACGCTTGGCCAGGCACGCCTTAGTCAAAACTAGAATTTCCAGAGCAGATCCGGAGCACCATTCATTTGAAACGTCCCTCCAGTGACTTTGTGGCACGCTCTTGATTAATAACCACTGTTGAAACTGCTCTCTCCCCGTTACTGACAATGGAGAATCAGGACTCCTGCAAGATATGCGGAGCCATCCATTGCCTGCCCGCGGAGCCCTCTCTGCTGGCTCCGTAAGCTGGGCGAAGAGCCGGTCTCTCAGGTAGTTCTCTCTCTCCCAGCAGAGTCTCAGCTTGGCACCTTAGCAACAGTGTTTCCATCCTACTCTGTGTCATGAGACCTTACAGGGAAGTGATGAGCGGAAGTGGTGAGGCAGGAGGCAACCAAGGAGCAGAACCCGTTGTGCTGGAATTCCGAGTCCCTGAAAACATGTCCCTGCACATCTGAGAAGAGGAGCCGCACAGCCACCTGCCTCACCACAACCCCAAACCTCATGCCTCCCAAAGAATCCCAAAAGAGGAAGAAAGAAAGAAGAGAAATCCTTCCAATTCTGCACAACTCACTTCGTAGCCCACTTAGGTCTTCAGCTACTTTCGGATCCCTGGTTCCCACTAGACAGTGAGGTGGTAGCTGGAGGTGGAGGGGAGGGCGCTCTTTTCCTAAACCATGAGAGCACTTTCATTTGTTTTAATATTCATTGGAGAGCTTTCTTAATCATGTCCCTAGGTCTCAGGATGTAGTACACAGACTAAAGCCAACGACTTCCTTATGTTTTTGTCCCATTAATTACGTGACACTATAAAGCACAATAACTGAAAGCATATTTGATACTTTAAAAATATCAAGGCATTGATTAAATCCCGGCCCAATGGAGTGTAACTGCCTGTATATTGGTGCCAAATCCAATCCTGGACCACTTGTTAGGGCCTCTAGCTTCTAACCATGGACAGGTTTGTCCTCTTCCATTCTCTATAGCTTTGCCTTTTTTTTCCTTCTGTTTTTGTTATTATTTCTTCTTGGAATAAGAATGCCCCCTTGTGCTCAGGTGCAACCATCATCTAGGAACCTGTAATGTACTTCAGAGAACCTTAGTATTGAAAACTGTCAGGATGGGGAAAACATTTTAATTATATTTATAAGATTTTTAAAAGTTGCTAGTTAGTAGATAAGGAGGGATGGCTTAAAAATTGCAGGCTGACCATTCATTGTGCTCGGGAGTGTTGATGCCCTCTGCTATGTAAATCAGTTAAAAATGGAAAATGGAACATAATTAAAAGAGAGTAGAAGCTTTGAGGATTCTGTAAGTGGTACAACAGATTAATGCACTCAGCTGGTACCCCAGAGGTTGTAGTTTGGAATCCCCCAAGAGTAGTCCCAGAGGAAGACCTGCCGATCATCTACTTTTGAAAATCGAGCCCCCCTGTGGGGCACAATGCTAGCCTGACCCCAGTAAGGTTGCCATGAGCAGGAGTTCACCAGCTACCACGAGGCTGTGTGATGGACTTTGAACACAGTCCTGTTCAATCCGCCAGATGCCATGCTGAGGGTCCTATTCAATGATAATCACCATTTGAGGGCAAATGTTACCACCAGTATTAGACTAAAATGCTAGCTGAGAACAAGCTATTAATAAAGAGTCAGAGAAGGAGACACCAGTCGAAATAACTAGCTAGTGATCATCCTTCAGACTAATCAAATAGATTCAAATCTGAAGGTGTCTTCAACAAAAATAAGGATGCAAGTGGGGTAGCTGTAACCTGACCCCAATAAACCTCAAGACGCTTTATCTTGGAGGGTAATTTTCCTAAGACTATAGAGCAAATGAACCAAAATATGCATATGCAAACTAAGTTGCATGTGACCTGGATGAAAAAAAGATGAATCTAGAAAGCGCAAGTTCTTAACTGGCTTGAAATAAAGGAGATGAATGGCCTTCTCCTGCATGATTAGCAGGTATTAGCTGATAGATACATTAATCCCTCGGAGCCTAGAATAGGCCTCAGAATCCTTTTGAACACAGGTGCCTCCAAGGAATCATTATCCAGTAAATTAGGACAGGTAATTCCTGGTTTATAATGTATTCAGCTTATGGCAACTACCCTTACACCTCGCCAGTATCAGTTATTGGTTTTTACATCTTACCGTCAATAATATGTACAACATACAATGTGGCCACATGTAATTTGTTGATGGTTCAATTCTCAAATGTCCAGCCACAAATGTTCAGTTTCATGATTCTAGCAGGATCAAAGAAGTTGGCATCAGGAGTCACAACAGATAAGAGAGTGGGACAGTGTTCAACTCTAATGACATTGGACGATTAAAGTGTGCACATGCCGTTATAACTCTGACTTCACAGGGAGAACTCTGATAGCAATTGTCCTGCAGGTCAGGTCTACAGCATGGCCTTATCCAGTTCTGTGTAATAAGATGACTCCATTGTTCATTTGAAATCGAGTTGCTCAAGTTTCTCTAAACAGAATACCTACTCTGCCTATGCCCACAACTAGATGTCTAACAGAAGAAGCCAGGTCACTGGAAGTTCTTGCAAGTCTGGCTAGACCAGAGGAGGTACACTGGTACAGATAGGAACTGAAAATACAGGGAATCTAGGATGGATGAGCCCTATAGGACCAGTGGTGTGAGTGGCAAAACAGGGAGGGTAAAGGGAGAATGGGTAGGAAAGAGGGAACCGATTACA